AGAAGCTGGCTGGGGAGGTTGCAAATGGTGATCATGTGATTCTGGAGATGCTGCACCGTTCCTAAGTGCAAAGACCATATCATAAGTCACTTTTTTCATTGATGTTATAACTCAGAATGGTTGTGAAATGAATGGCTATGAGTCAAGGAATACCGTTATAGTTTCTACCAGTTTTCAGCTAATAGAAAAAGAATGTTTCTGTGTTTCCCTTTGGTTGTTCATTCAGCTTCCACAGAAGCCAGTTATTATGTATGGTTTTAGAAGCCCATTTGCAGAACATGAATGTAGTAATATTCTCCCAGGGGTGTTCCTTAACAACTATTTTTAAGAAGCATGAAAAGATTAGGACTCCCTTGAGACTCCTGCTAATTACACAGACATATTACTGTGGTTTTCTTTGGCAACAGGCTCCAAATGATTTGCCATTGCCTTCTTTCATTGGGTTAACCCTACTGGTCTGCAAAGTGGCAGATGACTCAAGATAATTGCAGAGATGTAGAGAATTTCCTCGTTACTGCCTCCCCAAGCAGTCATCTCTTTTGTAGTAGTAGCCCCATAGTTTTGTTTTGTTTTTTTAATTTTCAAATCCAGTCTATTTATTTATTTATTTAATAGAATTTGTCAAACAAAAATGAGAACAAGAATAAAAAAATACAAATACAAATGACAGGGACGATAGGCACGTTAGTGCACTTATGCATGCCCGCTCTAGTAATCACTTAAGTGTGATGTAAGGTCCATGGAAGTCAATTTGTGACTGAAACTCTGAAAATGTGTAGCTGAATTAGGTAGAGCATTCCAGACTTTCACGACTCTATTACAGAAATAATATTTTTTACAGTCAAGTTTAGAATGATTTACATAGAGTTTAAAGTGGTTGTTAGTGTGCGTATTATTGCGATTAAAACAAAAAAAGTCATTTACCGGTAAAACATTACTACGTATAATTTTGTATGCAATACCTAAGTCTGACCGCATTGCCCTGTTGCCCTGATGGTTTCCCGTTCAAATACTAACCAGGTCTGATCATACATTTTGAAACCAGCCATGGTCCACTAGTATTTGTCACTGAGTTCTATAAAGAGAAGCACCCTGCCTCTAATAATAGGGGGAATATAGTCTCGCCATAATTAGCAGCTATTGATAGGCTTATTTTTCATGAATTGTTTGATCTCCCTTTAAATCCAAGTTGGAAGTCATTTGCATATCCTGAATTAACAAATTTAATTAAATGTCCTTAGGTTATGACAATCCCAAGATGTTCCCAAGATCTAGTGCTCTCTTTTTTTGGTATATGTTTTATTTACAGTTTTTCTTTAACAACCAACATAATTTGTGGACAGTGTAATGAGTGGGTCAATACATTTTTTACACAGTGCTGACAATAATAATACAATTACTTATGCATGGTTTTAACTTCCAATTTGTACCTCTCCCCTTGTTGAGGTTCTTCCATATTCACCTCTTTATCTTTAAACAATAGTATTCTCTCTTTATAATACTATATTTGAACATCAATTACATTTCTTCATAAAATCTGTTCGTTGACCCCCTATTAAATCATCAATATTTTAGTATTTAAAATATTACTCAAAATCTACCATGTTTCCAAAATCTCAATTTTCTATAAACACCAATAAAAAAACACTTATTAATAAAACTCAGTCGCTCCCGGGATTATATCTCTGAGTCCCCTGAATTTGTAATCCTAAAAACTAGGAGTTCCAATATATTTTTCCCCATTGTTAATCATGATAGTACATTTGGGTATGCTTAATCAGAGTCTTCCATCTCCTAACTTGATATATTTATGGTTATAATAAATTCTATTTTTATCTACATTATGTATTGCTATTTTCCCAGTTTATCCATTACTTTTTAATACAATCATAGTATTACATAATCTTATGTCTCTATCCATCATCTCTCAGCCTTTTTAGAATTCCATCATTTACTGATTTTTTAATGATTCTTTTATATTTCTCTCTTGGGATCCTATATTTCTTTCTAACATTTCTACACAGAGTGTTCCTTCTGCCTTTCCCATTATCTCCTTTTGCTGCATCATTTGGATACCCATCCATAAACCTTCCATTATTTGGGGGAAGTTCTCCTTTTTTTTCTCTATACTATTGTAAACTTTTACGGGATTGTCTTCTTGATTCTTAGTATTTATTGTTATTGTCTTTTCATTGTTTTTATTTTTTTGTAGCTTATTTTGATTTGTCTCCTCCCCCATTTCTTCTAATTTCTCATCTGTCACCTGAATATGTTATTCATCTTTTCTCATCATTGTTGAGGGTCTTCTACACTCACTTCTTTATTGTTAAATGATCCCATCATTTCCTTATACTTCTTTGTCATACTTTCACAAAAACTTTTAACCATCATTAGCATTTCTTCATAGAACTCTATTGTCTCCTGTTGAATCATTTTGAACCAGGTTAATGTATTAAAAATTACTCATGTATCTTTAATATTCCAGTATCCCAATATCTAAAAACGCCAAAAGAGTAAATCATTAATAAAATTTATCAATCCCAAAATTATTCTTCCAAAACTTCTGGGCTTCTAGTCCTTAGAAGGTATAAATTTTACTTTACAGTCTTTGTAATTTCCAGTTTACTCCTTCCCAATTGTCCAAATTTTAAAGTTTTATTTATCTTTTCTTCTTCTTTTTCTCTTCTTTCAATGAACGTTTCAATAAGGTTTTAATTTTTATAGTTCAAATTGCCTCAAACTTTTTCCGACAGCTTGGTAAATATTTCCAGGTCTCCCTAATTGTCTGCAATGATAAAGTCAAGGTCAAATAGTTTCCAGCTGTTGTTTTTCCTTTCAGCACTTTCCTTCAAATTTATCACATTGCAGTAATCTTCTTCCTTCAGTAGATGGCTCTCCCACTCCCAATTCCAACCTTTAACACAGTATAAGAATCAAAACAGCTGACTATCATTCATTCAGGGGAGTTAAAAATAAAGTTTAGAAAAGCAATTTCTCCCAATAGTCACTTTTCACAAGTTGTTCAATTTTTTCCAGTCTTTTTCTAGTTTGAAATTTAAAGAATATTTCTTTTGCATCTGAATTTTTAATCCTTAGTCTCTAATTAATTAATTAATTAATTAATCTCTAATTTTTAGCCTTTACTCCTTCTCAATAAATCCAATCACCACTTTTTACTATTTGGAGGGTATTTTTAATAAGTTTTGCCTGGGTTAAATCTTTGGTGTAGGAGTTAGAAGTTATCTCACCCAGTTTCACTACTCTGTCCACGCACTGCTCCAGCATAAGATCTTACTGTCCCGGTTGTTCCAGTTTGTGACAGACCAAAATGGCCATCGTCCCTGCTGCTGTTTGGGAGAGCTTTCTTCAGATCAGTGAGGAAACTGAGGTTTCCTTGAGATCGACGAAGCCCATCTCTTTTCTTCACCATGCCTCCAGGGTGGCTTAACCTGTAGGGTCTCCCAGCAAGCAGTTGTCAGCTGCATTTCATGGAGCCCCGTGGGGCTCCGCTATTTTCCAGCCATTGCCGCCGTGATGTCAACCGGAACTCCCAGGATCTAGTACTCTTAAAGACTAAAACTCTGTGGTATGTTCTCTATATAATGTGTGTGTGTGTGCATAAATGTATACACATGTAGCCCACCAGCATATATCCAATGATACCTCCTTTCCAAATTGTTCCATATTTGGAGAAAATAGAGGGAAATTTTGAGCTTCAGCTGGATTTCAGCAAAAAATATTAAAGTTGCTGCCTTCAAGAAAAGTGGACTCCTGACAGAGAGGAGGGGGACTTTCATTTACCCTATAAAAGGTGGGGGGGGACCTTCAAATTCAACTCCTACTGAGAAAAAAACCACCCGTGTAATGTTGCTGTTATTTCTGGAAGGAAAGAAACAGTTCAGCTTTCTCCACAAAGACAATACAGAGTTACTCTTTCCTTCAAGTTATTGATCTGGTAAAAAGGGCTAATTTTCCTCCAGATTGTTCCTTCCTTAAAAGCATTTCTCAAAACTAAATGATCAATAGGCTAATCCTTACCTGAAAGCCCATGTCTCTTCAGCTATTTGATGATCCTTGTCATTTTAACCTTGCCTCTTCGGTTCTGCTCTAAAAAGAATAAAATATAATGGAAGACTTTCTTTTAAAAAACTGTTTTGTGTGTGTATGTGTGTGTGTGTGTGTGTGTGTGTATTACACAACTTAGGCTAGATTAGCAGTCATGCATTTCTGTACATGAGGAAGGCTTCGATGAGAAATCCCATTTTAAAATAATGACACCAAATGTCCATAAAAAGCTCAGTCGTGTCTAACTCTGGAGTGGGAAGGGTGATCATCCCCACTTCTTAGCCAAGGGAGCCAGCTTTGACAAAGATGTTTCCTTGGACATGTGACCAGCATGACTATACACTGAGGCACACGCCTCATGCAACACTATTACCTTCCCACTGAAGTGCTACCTATTTATCTACTCATACTGTATTTGCATGTTTCAAACTGCTAGGTTGGCAGCAGCTGAGTCAAGAATGGGAGTTTACCCAGTCATGTGGTACTTGGGCTGCAAAATGTCAATGTTTCAGTTGACAGCCCAGCTTCTGAACCATAGGCCAGAGGTCTCCAAACTTGGCAGTTTTAAGACTTGTGGACTTCAACTCCCAGAATTCTGGGAGTTGAAGTCCACAAGTCTTAAAGTTGCCAAATTTGGGGATCCCTGCACTAGGCCAAAACTGCATATAAAGAAACTTTACTTGGGAAAAGGGGAATAACAAGGGAAAACCACTATCATACAGCCAGGTTTACAAATGAGAATTAATAAGTCATTCTAGATGGTTCAACTCTAACTATATTTCAGGCTGTACTTTCTCACTTTTTTATAAGGCTAAATAATTCATAGTGAATAGTTGCAGTCAGAAGGGAGAATCAGAAATAAATGTCAGAGGTATAATGTATATAAAGTCTTTTAGGATATCAATGCTTATCCATGTCTTCTTTTTTAATTTCAGGATGCATTTCGGGCCTTTCATCCAGATATCACCTTTGTAAAGAAGTTTCTTAAGCCATTATTAATCGGAGAACTTGCTCCAGGAGAACCCAGCCAAGATAGAGGAAAGAATGTAAGTAAGAGATGGCTTCCCTTTCTTTTACATAGCAAGACTAAAAAGAGCCTGAAGGAAGTGGCATCACATGAAGCATCTGTAAGAGAGAAGTGGAGAGAAGCATTGAGGTTAAAAATAGGGCAGCAAGAAAATAAAGTGGAAAAGAAAGTAACAAAACAGAGAAACTGAAGACCAAGATAAGATACTGAAGAAATTGCAAGTGCCTTAAGTTGGGAATACATTGTTGTGTCTCCTTACCTATTACCAGCTGAATTCCACTCAGGCAACAAAATATGCTGAAGGAAACCCATGCATAAAGTATTTATATTATGTCTAAGATATTTAACCCAACAGAGTTGTGCAAATCTTTGAAGGGGTGCTTCATTTTAATAAAGATTCAAAAGAATCAATCTTTGGAAGAGCCAAATGTTTCTTCCTCCTCCTCTTCCTCTTCTTCCTCTTCCTCTCCCCCCTCCCTCTTTTGCTTCCCCTCCTATTCCCCCCCTCCTCCTCCATAAAAGACAATGCAAACTAAACCCAGAAAGGAAAAGAAAAATAAAGAATAGAAACTGCAAGAGAAAAGAAAATTAGCAAAAAAGCAAGATAAGAGAAAAGAAATATTTAAAGAAATGACTCCCACTTTTCATCACAAGAACAAACAAATTTAGTAATGTTCAATCTCTATAAGACTGCATACATATCTCTTCTTCCCTTATCCATATGCAACTTCATAAATCAGGGTCAGCAAAATGTATGTAAAGGATTCACAGAATTTTATAGAAATGTCTTATTTTAACCTTGGTCAAAGAATTCAACTTTGTACTTCTTCCTTTTGTCTCTACCAATTTTGATCTTTAATTCAATTAGATGTTATCTAATACTAGGCAATTCCTAGAAGTTTGGCATTCAAACAAATTACTAGATGAGCTATCACAAATAGACAGATAGAGCTAAGCTATACTTACATACCACTCAAAGAAGACAATAAAAAGACTAAGATGGAAATAAAAAGACAAGAATACTTCCTCTCCAACAACCAATGCCCAGACAAGCATTAACACTAGACAAACAACACTAGACAAGCAATCTTGCAGGAAACAATACCTTAATCAAGGAACTACCAAGGAGAAAATCACATCCCCACTGAGGGGACTTATATAAACAGGGAGCAAATCCCATACTCACTAGCACTGGTGTTACTCTGTTGGACAATGAAACATCTGTAAACAAACAAGCAGTGAACACAAAGATTCCAGTCTGAGCTACACGTATTCACTTCCATGGAACTGCTCCAGAGGTGATATTCAGTAGGTTCTGGCCAGTTCTGGGGAACCGGTAGCAGAAATTTTGAGTAGTTCAGAGAACCAGCAAATACCACCTCTGACTAGAGATTTTACAGCATCCTTCCCCTGCCACTCCCACTAAGGCACAACCACAGAACCGGTAGTAAAAAAAAAATGAATTCCACCACTGAACTGCTCTATTTCACAGTTTTTAATTTTTAGACCATGACATCATCTCTATTTGTTCAGGGATGTGCTAGCTCGCCATCCTTCATCCAGAAGCCTGTCTTCTGGATCTCTGATGGTTTTAAAATTGGAAGTTCCAGTTGCAATACTAAAAGTGCAACAGCATTTGTCCATTCATAACTTGTGCAAAATTTAATTTCTATATCTCAACTGTTGATTGAGGCTTTAAGATGATATCAAACACCTTGATAAAGACTGTTATGTTGCTTTTGAAGTATGATCTTTCCTGAGGCAAAGCTTCGACTCCTCACACAAGCCTAAGCATGCAGCTGAGGTTAGAAACAGTGGTACCAGGAAGCAGGAATTATCAGGGAAGTAAATATTCAGGGATTTTTCATCACTTCTTATTCCACGTGCTAGGATTTTGTTCCCTACCTTCTCTCAATTAGCTACTTATCAAACCAATCATATATATTTCATCTTCAAATGAAAAAGAAAAAGAAAGAATTTGGGAAGGCACATAGGTCTGCATGTAGGATCTGTTGGGAATTCTTTAATCCCTGCATCTTTCTCAGGATTTAAAATACCTTTTCATCTTCCAATCTAAAGTGCTCACAGCCCTCTCCCTTTCCCTTCTTCTTCACATGAGATCGGATCTGGTTTTTCTACCTGAAAACAACCTGTGCATGGCCCTTTAGTAACCTGAAGCTTTTCTGAACTCTGACTTGGAAGGTAGCTTCATTAAAAATGGCCCCTGATTCTTTTTTCTCATCTGTCCCTTGTCTCCCAGCCATTCAGAGTCCCACAACTCCCAGCTGTTCAAGCTATCAATTATTCAGCCCCTCTGCTTTGGTTGAGCAGTTGCAGGCAAAAGCCCTTCTATTCCCTCTTTCTATTTTTGGAGGTTACAATTAGGACAACAAGCCAATGTCTAAACATCACCCTGCAAATGCTCCATTAATGTTTTCAGTATTCCTTATCTAACAAAGAGAGTGGTGACGCTTAAGTGGTATTAATTGGTTCCTACAGCCTACAGCTAGGTGGAAATATTGAGAAGCATAAGATATATCATGTTATATCTCATTAAATTAGTCCTGACAATGGCCACAGCAGCCACCACAATTTAAAATGGCAAAATACTTTGGTATTTATGTCCTCCAAACTTCATGAGCAGAAACTCAAAGAATCTCACAGGAGGCATTATTTTTTTACCATTTATATAAAGACCTCATGTTAAAAAAAACTTCCCTACATTTGTGCCATCTACATCTGAAGGATGATACAAAAGATCCTTATTGCTCTGAACCAAATAGTTACCTGTCGTGTCAAATTATTGAGCTTTCAATACATGTGATTACAGCAGCAAGGTTAGCCTTGCTGCCAAGTACCAGAATTAGAAGGATCTAGAATCAAAAGAAAGTAGAGTTGGCAGAATGGATGATTAGAATTAGAAAATACTGTATAAAGATATAGATGTATAAATGAATATAAAACATGTATTCCATGCCATAATATGTATGACAAACAGGATTGTCAGGATGATCACACCACGCCCAATGTTTTTAACAATTTACTTAATAAAACTTTAAAAATAAAAAATAATTAAAAAAATATTGAGCTTTCATTTAGCAGCCCACACTAAAGTCAAGAAGAATTCAGAAATAAAAAGTAGAACTCTGTGTTCTGTGCATCCTTGGATCTAGAATGTAGCATTTGGAGCATCAGGATGTGTATAATATGTTTTGTTGTGTTATATTACATCATATCATATATAAACCATATATCATATCATGATATCATATTTTATCCCACCTGTATAATTTTTACAAATAACTCAAGGTGACGAACATATTTTCTCCTCCTATTTTCCCCAGAATAACAACACTGTGAGGTGAATTGGGCTGAAAGAGTGTGACTGGGCCAAAGTCACCCAGCTAGCTTTCATGAGTAAAACAGGACTAAAGCTCAGTCTCTTCGTTTCTAGCTTAGTGCCTTAACCACTAAATCAATATTAATATTTTTTCCCTTCTGTTCAGTTTGTGTCCAATTCTCAGAACTGTATGGACAAGTCCTGCAGTTTCCTTGGAAAGGTTTTTCAGATTTGGTTTGCCATTTTTCAGAAGTGGTTTCTTTTAGGGCTGAGAGAGAATGACTGACCCAAAATCACCCTGCCAGTTTTCACTAGAACCCACAGTCTGCTAGTTTTTAACCAGGAGCTTCAAATGCAACACAAATTGGCTGTTTATGATGTGGTGTGGTATAGTATAGTATAGTATGGTGTTTAATTATTTTACAGGGCAGTTGAAGTAGATATATTAAAGCAGAAAATTATATAGAAATCTTGCTACACAATCAAGCACTGAATCCATGAAATTCAGCATTGGCCTGAGAGAGAAGGGTTAGCAGGGTGAAGATTGTGTAGTGCTTAAAAGTAAAGCTGCCCATTTGAGTATAAAACATCCAATATCTTGTTTTTTCTTCTTTTCAGCCTCAGCTAGTAGAAGATTTTCGTGCCCTGAGAAAGACAGCAGAGGACATGAAGCTATTCAAATCCAATCCTATATTTTTCTCCCTTTATTTGATTCACATCATTGTGATGGAAGTTTTGGCTTGGTTAATGGTATCATATTGTGGGACAAGTTGGAGCATAACCTTTGTCCTTTCCATCATCCTCACAGTCTCTCAGGTGAGTTTTTGTTTGCTAAATACTGAAAGTTATCAATGCTTGGTCGCAATGTTCATCTGTCATTGAACTCTTTAAATAAATATACAAGTTACTTAAACTTCTAGGTGACTGTGCTTTTTGGTGGGGAAACTGACACAAATTATAATTCAAGAAACTAAAATCAATTAGTCATTATTCGAAAGATGATTTGTTCTCAGTATTATTATTTTTTTGCTCTCACCCCAAATAGTTGCAAACTGTCAGCTTTTGACTTGCAAATTGATTGAATTTATCACCCCACTTTTTAAATTGGTTTTTGCCAAGTAAAAGAAAAAAAGAAAATCCTACTAAAAGACAATCCTACTAGGTCTCATCACTGCCCAGGCCTAGAGTAATGACAACCAACTATCCTGCATTACACACAATTGAGTGTTAATGACTGAAAATCAGCATGCAACTGTTGCATAGAAAGCCACTTGCACTATTTAATATGTCAATTTAAGAATTGAAGGCCGGGAAGCAAGAGAGTCTGGGCAAAAGCAGGAAAACTGGAGGAGATGCAAAAATCACAGATCTGCTCCAGAGTAAGGAAAGAGCCAGTAACAAGATGGTCAAGTACTGGATAGACACTCCAAATGCAGAGATTTCTGCATTATGGAAAAAATATTTAAATGGAAAAACATCTACAAGTAGTCCTTGACTTACAGCCATTCATTTAACAACTATTCAAAGCTACATTGGTATTTTTATAAAGTGACTTATGACCAGATCTTGCACTATCTCCACATCTCCATAGTCACATGATCAAAACTTGGCAGTTAGCATATATTTACAATGGTTGCAGCATCCCGGGGTCATGTGATCACCACTTGTGATCTCCCAACTGGCTTCCAACAAGGAAAGTCAATGGGACAAGTCAGGTTTGCTTAATGACCTTGTGATTCACTGAACAACTGCAGTGATTTGCTTAACAACTGTGACAAAAAAGTTTGTAAAAATTAGGCTTACTTAACAACTGCTTTACATAACAATGGAAATCCGAGTCCCAATTGTGGTCATACATCAAGGACTACCTTTCCTTTGAACACAGATGTAATATTGGAGAAGCATTACTGAATGTTGCTTAACAGATTGTTGTTAGCAACTTTCCAAACATCCTTCTCTCAAAAACCATTGACGGAGGCTGCTGTAGCTCTACTAAAAGTAACTTTGGGGACCCATTCCTTTGGGTTATGAGCTGGCAATGTGGCGTTTGAATTCATTTTGTTTCAACCACAAATTCTGAGTGGAAAACATGTATAAATGTATGTGTTTTTGTACAAACCAAAGAGTGGGCAACTTTAATTTAGTCAGTTGTCCCATTAATTAAAATGGAAGGTAAGGTGTAGATCAGTTATATGATGTTACTGTATGGAGCAGGGGTGGAATTCTCCTCTCCTCTTTTTAGGGAAGGAATGAACTTTGCAGTTTTTTAGGTTTACTAAGTTCTGGTTTTTGTAGTTCAAATTTAGATGAAGAGACTAGATGTGCAACTCATGGATGGTGAGATGCCCACTGTGCCATCTCAAAAGTGTTTTTGCACTCCTTAATCCTTTTTTTTTCTTCCCAGGCCCAGGCTGGGTGGTTGCAGCATGACTTTGGACATCTCTCTGTATTTCAGAAGTCTGTATGGAACCATATAGTTCATAAGTTTGTGATTGGTCACTTGAAGGTAAGGCCTATGTCTGTCAAATTACAATAGAACAACCGCATCAAGATCTAATGATGCTATGTTGCTCACTCATTTCTGAAACAACTCTAGGCCTTTCACATAACCACGATAGAAGGTACTCATAGGAAATGGGCTTCCCAATTCAGGAAAATTTAGAGAACCGGTGGGTTATATTTCACTCTTAAATTCTACAATCATGCTTTCCAGATTTGCTTCTGAATAAGAAATAAGCAATCCATTTTAAAAGAGTTTGTGTTGAGAATTGTATGTTGGTAGCTAGCATTCATAGATCCTAAACAGTATTAAAGAAGACAAGCATACCTTTCTTTGCAATTATCATGTCACCATTTTAGCCAGATCCAACTTAATCTCCATTTGCATGGGAAGAATTTATAATTCAGAAACCAAAGCTGAAAGAGCTACTTGAGGATAAGTTAATTATAGTAATGGTCAATAAACTCTTAAAGGCACGACAAAACAGGGAACATGGCCAACAATGAGAGATGCTAGGAGCTGTAGTTACAAGGAAGGAGTTTAAGCTAAATATCAGGATGACTAACTTCCTAATGGTACTAAATAACCCATAGAACAGATTGCTACAACATGTGGTTCTTCTTTACTAGCGACCTTCTATCAGAAGCTGCATGTTCTTCTCTCAGAGATGTTTGTCCAGATCCTGCATTGACCAGGGGATAGATGATGAAATTTATGGCTACTTCCAGCTCTGTGATTTTATGATAATACATGGAATGCACAAAATGAATAATCAGAAATCATCTATTTTAAACTGATTAGAAGAACACTTAGAACAGCTTTGTTTAAAAATCTCCATGTAACACATTTAGCAGTCACAATTGGGATTGGCAACTTGTTTAGAGTCTATTTGCATAATTCAGTTGCTAAATAGGACTATCTATAATTATTCTATAATTATTCTATACTATCTATAACTTTGTTGCATGTATCCTTACGATCTATATTGACTGTTTCCTAGTATGATTTGATTGCTTATTGTACCCTATGACTATCATTAAGTGTTTTATTGTATGATTCTTGACTCTTGACAAATGTATCTTTTCTTTTATGTATACTGAGAGCATTTGCACCAAGACAAATTCCTTGTGTGTCCAATCACACTTGGCCAATAAAAAAATATATTCTATTCTATTCTGTAGAATTTTTAATCACAAACCCTAATGGCTATTACCTTCGATGGCTTTATGGAACATTAGTTCAATTCATAGAGGACAGCTCTGTCAATGCAATTGGTCTATTAACAATTGTCTATAGATATTCTTGGGGTCAGGTTAAATCTTCTGCAAGAAATATAGGATATGTATATCTAGTTGGAAGGAACACAATGCAGTTAAGTAGCCACAGTGAGCTGAATTCAGGCCCTTACTTTTAATGGAAGGAAGGTGTGTATTTTGTATTTTAATACCAATATAGTTAATAAAGATATATGCATCAAATCTACTAATTTCTTGCTTTTCATAATTCTTTGAAAATTACAATATGTACATGAGGAAAAATTATATATACAAAAGCATATTATTTGGAAAAAATGCATTGTTCGGGAAAAAAGCATTACAAAATGAGAAAACACCATAAACTAATGTAAGCAATCCAGCTTTTTAAATTGGAGAAAGAGAATACATTTTAAAGTCATTGTATAATTGATGAAGAATGGGTGTCCTCCAACTTTGGAGTATTATATTTTGTAATCATGAAAGCATGCAGTATCTATTTCCATTGTCCTTCTGTTTCTAAGCCACTGGTATAGAATTGAAAAGAACATGAGGATCCACAAAAACAATAAGCCATCTGGAACAAAAGTAATACATGAAACAACTTCTGTGTAAAAGGGAACCATTATAACAAAAAAGTGCATCATATGATCCAATTATGCATTTTGAGCACCTCTTCAAAAATTAGCTGATCCTATCAAATTCTTCCTTGCAAAGATATAAACTAATAATTATCTGTAACATAGTAAATGCCAATATTTTTTCTGTTCATGTTCATAGGCTGGTTGTTACTTGATCCTATGTTGTCCCATATTTTTGCCTATGCAATTCTAATAATTGTTATTTCTGCTTTATTATTGTGTAAAAAACATATTTAATCTTCTGAAGGTTTTCTGGCTAGCAGCCCATTTCTAAAGGGCAAAGGATTAATAAAAGGTGTTATCTTTCTGCAATTTTAGCAGAAAGATTTTTTTTAATGTTGCAATCCTCAAATAACAACAACCAGACAATTGTCTTTTAATTCTATTAAGTGACCTATAGTACTGTATATATTCCACATTCTACCTTTGTGCCATGCTGCTTTTTTTGGCAACTCTTATCAAAAGAGGGAGAATTCCTTATTTGGCAGGACTCCAACATTTTTATTTTTACATTTGATAGCTTACCAAGTATTAGTTGGTTGCAGAAGATACTTTGAGGAAAGAGTTATAATGGACTCTATATTTCTTTCAGTTGTTTCATAAATATTTATCATCCTGAACATAAATTATTACCTGTAATGAAAGGGTTGTCCTGCTAAGGGACAGCACCTCACTAATCTTGACTAATCTCAGAAAGGGCTAAGTGGACTTAGGTTTGTATTGGATGAGAGACAACTAGCAAATCATAGGGTTGTAGAAATCAAAGAAATCAAAAGAACCTCAGAAGCAAAAGAGAACTACTGTGTCATTGCCAAAAAAATCAAATGGTCTGTCTACCATGTTATCAAGGGAAGGCTTTACATTGTTAATCCCCCTCTTTGGTGGTATTCAAATGATGACCTCAACATTACTAAAAAATATGGATTCTCCATACGTGTCCATAGGGTGCTTCAGCAAATTGGTGGAATCACCGGCACTTTCAGCACCATGCAAAGCCAAACATCTTTAAGAAAGACCCAGATGTGAACATGCTGCATCTCTTTGTCTTGGGAGATACCCAACCTGTGGAGGTAAGATGAAAAGATGTGAATTCAAGCACCTCAGATCCAAAGAAAATCCCAGAGGCAGTACCCAGGAAAATTTAGCCCTCAAGGCAAAAAAAAAAATAGATAAATTACTAATTCCTGGAAGAAAAGGGAATACTACAGACGCTTCTATTAACCAGTGTCCGTAACAGGTGTGCTCTCTCTTAATCCTCATCTCTTGCTTTATCTCCATCACTCTGATGGAGTTCCTCAGAATGACATTTATTAGCAAAACTCACAGCCATGATACAATGCATTACTCTTTTTCAGAATCATATTATTAGGACTGCTATTGTTCTTTTCGATTACGCTGTTTTTGTACTGCTCTTTGTTTTGAATTGTTTTTAATAAGTGTGAACTAACTGGAGTTACTGGGAGTCAGGCAGCATATAAATGATTATTATATTTATTATTATCACTTAACAATGGTAATTGGGACCAGAATTTCTGTTGCTAAGCAATGCAGTTGTAAAAGACATCATGTGACTGTGTAACTCAGTGATGGCAGATCTAGCTGTCCCCAGTCACCATTATTAAGCAAGGACGACAGGTGTAGTAATTAAGCAAGCTTCTTACATAATTATGAATTCTGGTTTCATGCTGGCTTCTCCATTGACTTTGCTTGTGGGAAACCAGCAGGAAAGGTCACAGATAATGATTATATGATCACAGGATGTTGCAACAATTAGAAATTCAAGTCAGTTGCTAAGCACCCATATTGCAATCATGTGATCGTCAGTTTGATATGACAAATAGAACTTTGAGGATCAATTATAACTACCATTCATTCAATGCTGTTGCTGAATCTGTGGTTGTATATTATATGCAAAACTATCTCCTCTGTATTATGGTAGCCACTAAATCTCAGTTCTTTGAAGCAATATAATGTTGCTTCAAAATCTTGAAATCTGTGGAAGTCATCTGAAATAGCACCAAGCTAAATTTCTAGTATTTATATTTAGAAATATGAGTGTTTTAGGACTACAATTCCTACAATTTTAAATAAGTATTGTGAACAGGCACAGCAAAATATGTCTGTATCAAATTAATATATTTAATCTTCCCAATGTCATTGAAGTCTTGTTTTTTTGTTGTTGTTCATTTAACATAATTTTAGTGGTATAGTACCAAATTGGGGTTTTATTGTCTTGAATAGTCAGCACTGAAAAGTTTTTGTCTTTCCCTTCAGTATGGAAAGAAGAAGCTGAAATACTTCCCTTATAATCATCAACATGAATACTTTTTTTTGAGTAAGTATAGTTCTTTACAGGGAAGGCAGAGCTGATGTTTATTTTCTGCATATTTTCCCATAAACTGTCCCCAACACAGATATTACAATCAATTCACTGATGTTTTCCCCTATATGTTAAAAATGGTTTGTAAGTTAGAAGCCCTATCTCTTTCTAAACTTTTTGGGAAGTGGACATATTTGACAGTGTCAGAGCACAGTCCTGGGAATTGGCTAACTTCAAGATTCCAAAATGGCCATCATGACAAGCACAAATTGCTGCTGGGCACAGGCAATGCAGCTTGAATTTAAAACGTTTCACACTCACAATAAGGGTGTGTGTTGTTCTGACCGTAGTCGAATATTGAAAGATGCCTAACTTTGGAACGCTTCCAGAATAATTGGAACAGCATTGAAACATTTCCTGTAAAGTTAGAACAACTGTTTCTGTTTTGAACTGGAAACAGTATTTTAAGCTGTAAACATTTTAAAATTGAAATCAAAGTATGGTGAAACACCTATTGAGCACTCTCACAATTCCCTCAGCCACACCACATCTTTCTTATTAACTTAATCTTACCCAATGTATTTTTAAAGGCAGATCGATACTTCCAGCCCAGTTCAGGGCTGCACACCTACCATTTTTATTATCTAAGGAGGGCTGGAGTAGCTGTGTTGATGTTAGAGATTTGTGTTGCTTTCAGCATTCTCATTTCCTTTTTATCAGTTAAATAATATTTTAAAAGTTAAAGAAGTGGGTCAGGAGCCATGGGGGCAAGAGGGGAGATGTCTGTAGGTACATTGGTTCCGAGTGGGTATATATTGGAAACGCAAGTCCTGATTATTTTAATAGCTTAAAATATTGGGCCAAACACAGATGCAAAACAGCATTTCTCATCATTTACTGCCATATACTTCCAGAGAGAGAGAGAGAGAGAATGCTTCACTGCAGACATTTATTTTGCATGTTGTTTTACAGTCCCAGGACACCATTCTATGTTTTGTGTTGCCTGCTTCCCCTAATGCGTGTTGTTTTGTTCACAGTTTTCCCACCTCTCCTTATTCCAGTCTATTTCCAAATGCAAATCTTCACAACAATGTTCAAACACAAGTTCTGGGTGGTAAGTGAAAAATCCCACATGCCTTTTATTGCTTTCATTTCTCTGCATGAAATGAAAATTCATCTGCAGAAGATCTCAACTGAGGGGGTGAAGCAAAGTCCCTATGCATATTCTTTGGAAAAGAAATAATTGTTGGCCTTGAGATAAAAAAAAATATAGCATTTGCCATGTATAATGTTTTCCTTGTCTCCTAGGACCTGGCATGGGCCTTCAGCTACTATGTACGCTACTTTATCACCTACATCCCATTTTATGGATTTCTTGGGTCCCTGCTTCTCCTCACCTTTGTCAGGTAGGGTTAGCTACTAAAACATTTAAAAAGTACTTCTGCTAGTTTATAACAGTCTGAGAAGTTCAAGACCGGATAAGTTCATCTGAAGAAGATCTCAGCTGAGGCGATGAAGCAAGCTCTCTGTGCATATTCTTTGGAAAAAAATAACTGTTGGCCTAGAGATAAAAGGCATATAGCATTTGCCATTTTTAATGTCAAATGTCATAATGTCAATTCATCTATTTCCAAACAAATCTGCCCAATGTTCGTGCACAAAAAGACCACATTGTGACTGATTGATATAAGTTCTCACTTAATGATGGTAATTGGAAGAGGGAACTCTGTTGCTACGCAATGTGGTTGGTAAAGTATGACTTCACATGATCATTCTGACTTACGACAGCAGTTGTGGCAGTCCCAGTTGTCACTGTTAGGTGAATCCTGTGTGGTTACAGCAACTCACAGTTATGTAATTGCCATTTGCAACCTCCTGCCAGCTTCCCCTTTGTCTTGGCTTGTTGGAAGCTGGCAGTGTAAATAGGAGCCAATTGTGAATTGTGATCATGTGATTGTGGAGATGCTGCAATGGCTGCAACTTTAAGGACCTGTCTTCTGTTCCCTTGTCCAGTGTCATCATAACTTTGATTGTTGAATGAGTGGTTGTTCTACATGTGCTTGTTTTTGCTATAGACAAGCATTATCTGAACCTTCCAGCAGTGGGTTATTTTGTTGGAATTTTGCCCTCCTAGGACTGTCCTTGATTTTATCAATTGTTCTAATATATACTTATCATTGATTGATTGATTTGGTTAGATTTGATTTGTGTGGCTGCTCATCTCATCATGGCCAGTCTAAACAGCTAACAATGCATTAAAACACAATCCACGATAACATCAAAACAGTATTAATATTAAGAGCTGTTTTGCAGAGTGAAATGAATGACAATTACATTTAACAAAATAAATCACCTAGAAAGGCAGCTGATTGATAAAAGCCAATCTACAATGAACTCAGAACCACAACTACGCTGGCTTCGACTTACCTCCTGACCCCCCAGAAAACATTCATGACTTCAACATTTTCCAGAAGCTTAGCAGAGTTGAGTTCAACCATATCTTGACAGATGAGGTATTCCAAAACCTAGGTTTTACAGCAGAAAAATCCTGTAAGATGACATTAATCAATGCTGCTGAACAGACAGATGGAAATAGCTGTGGTGACACAGTGGATAGAGTGCAGTACTGCAGGCTACTTCTGCTGACTGCTGGTGCCTGCAATTTGGCAGATCAAACCTCACCAGGCTCAATGTTGACTCAGCTTTCCATCCTTCCGAGGTCGGTAAAATGAGGACCCAGATTGTTGGGGGCAATAGGCTGACTCTGTAAACTGCTTAGAGAGGGCTGTAAAGCACTGTGAAGTGGTATATAAGTCTAAGTGCTATTGCTATTTCCACATATAACCCTTTCCCACTATTAATTGGACTCTAAAAACCTGTTTTTCCTTCCAGGACTTGAGTTGGATGTTTCAAGAGAGGGTGGAGGGTTAGTTGCCGGATGTTGTAAATATATATTGCAATGTATTGTTCTCTCAGATGATTGTTGTGCTGTTATATAATGTGCATATATCTGTGTGTCTATATATCTATGCTTGTCTCTTTTTTTTACCTTGTGAAGCCACCCAGAATAATTTTGGAGATAGAAACTTGATGTATAAATCAATAAAATAAAGGCACATTAGAGAACAACTGTATGCCTATAAAATGTGGGAAGTTTAAGACTGCTCAGATTGTTCTGACCTATTATTAAATTACTGGACATAAACCTAATTTTGATCCTTTTGTTAGCCATAGTTTCTCTAGATTAAAGCTTCTGGGCATTTGAGCTCAATCGCCTCTCTCTTTCTTGCTCTTTAGGTTTATGGAAAGCCATTGGTTTGTTTGGGTTACTCAGATGAATCATATTCCAATGGAAATCGACAGAGAGAAGCACAGAGACTGGCTCAGCTCCCAGGTAAACGTACTTTACTGAAATCTCATTCCTATCTGGGAATAAGTGTCACCGAGTCCAGGGGAGTTTATGAGCAACCATGCTTGGAATCCTACTGTGTCCTACTGACTTTATCTCAGGTTAGATGAAACTAAAAAAATGTTCCTCCATGCTCCACACTTCTTCCAAAGCAGACTATACTGGGTTAAGGATTTAATTTAGCAAAATTTTAATTTAGCTAAATCCTTAGTCATCATTAATACTGCAAATATCAATTTAGTCTGGCATCTTGAAACAAAGGAACAATAGTTGACCTATTTTTCTAAAAACATGAAGCTGGCTATAATTCAGATCTATACTTTGTTCTGAATGTTGTTTGAAACATATTATTTTTTAATTTCCTGCCCCTTGCTATACCTCACTATTTTGAAGAACTCAAAAGATTACTATTTTAGTCTGCAGTCAGAGTAATAGATTGTAGCATGTCCACAGTTCTGTAATGGCAGACTTTACTCCCCTACAAAAGTAATGAATTTGAACTTAATCCCTTTTCAAATTCAGATTTATTGGGATTCACAATTGCCTTTCTTTCACAGCTGGTAGCTACTTGCAATATTGAGCAGTCTTTTTTCAATGACTGGTTCAGTGGACATCTGAACTTTCAAATAGAGCACCAGTAAGTATGTAATATTTGTTTCTGAAGGAATGTTGGCAATGAAAATGCATGCACAAGATGTAATAGTCACCTTGGAGAAGCTGGAATAAGAAAAAAATGATGGCCAAAAGCAATAACCATAGAATATCAGTATGCCACAAGGATATGTAATATTTATTAAATTTATATGCTGCCTAGAGTCATTTTGCAGAGTGAGATGGGCAGCATATAAATTTAATACATAAATAAAAGTGTTGGGACTCATCTCCGGGGGGGATGAGTCTGCCTACCGAGATGAGGTAGACCAGTTGCTTTTGTGGTGTGGAGACAATAACTTGGTCCTCAACACCAGTAAGACCAAGAAGCTTATAGTGGACTATAGAAGGAACAGATCAGACCTCCAGCCCTTGCTTATCAATGGAGACCGAGTGGAGCAAGTGGCCAGTTTTAAGTTTCTGGGTGTTACCCTAAAAGAGGACCTGACCTGGGATGCTCACATTGCAGCTCTAGTCAAAAGGGCCCAGCAGAGATTACATTACTTGAGACTTCTCAGGAAACCACAACTGGATGGAAAACTGTTGGTGACCTTCTACCGCTGCGCCATAGAGAGTATCCTAACTTACTGCCCCTCTGTATGGTTTGCCAATTGCACAGTGGCAGATAGGAAAACACTCCAGAGGGTGAACGTCATTGCCCAGAAGATCATTGGTTGCCCTCTCCCCTCTTTGGAAGAGCTTTATAGCTCCCGCTGCCTTAAGAAAGTTCAAAACGTTCTTAAAGATCCATCTCATCCTGGGCACCCTTCTTTTGAACTATTACCATCTAGCAGATGGTACAGAATAATAAAAACAAGGACAAATAGGCTAAAAAACAGCTTCTATCCCAGGGCAGTAGCTCTGTTGAATTCTACTGTATAGTGCAGTTTTGGTGCAGTGTCAGGGGTTTTCAGTTCAATGTGTGGAAGGTGAAGGATGTGTTCATGTTTATTTTCATGGTCATGATATGCACTGAAGATGGTATTTGATTTCGTTGTACAAGATGCAGTGACAATAAACTAAAATGCAATGTACACAACTATTGTACAGGTAGTCCTTGACTTAAGATTGAGCCCAAAATTCTGTTGTTAAGTAAGTTTTGCCCCATTTTATGACCTTTCTTGCCACAGTTGTTAAGTGAATCACTGCAGTTGATAAGTTAGTAACATGGTTGTTAAGTGAATCTGGCTTCCCCATTGATTTTGCTTGTCAAAAGCTTGCAAAAGGCGGTCACATGGACTTAGGACACAGCAATGGTCATAAGTATGAACTAGTTGCCAAGCATCTGAATTTTGAACATTTTGACCATTCCAGTGGTCTTCCATATAAAACATCTAAATATTCCATCTAATAAGAAATGGAAAGGCTAACCGCACCCCCCCCCCCCAAAAAAAAAAAAACCCATGGAGTTTTAAAACCCATTTTTCCAAAGCTTTAAGCAATTGTTGTCTTCTGGAAAAAATTAAAAAATAACAAGATTATGAAATCTTTCCTCACAGTTTTAGTTTAAAGTATATAATGCAAGTGTATATAAAATGACCTGGATATACGGATAGAAAAAGGGAGAGAATGCAAAAGGTGTTGAGTTCCAGCCAAACTTGCCATAGTGCCTCAAAGCAATGTATTCATATCTTAGATGCTGAAGCAATTACTGACCATCATGTTGCTTCTGGATTTAGCTATCTCATCTGGCTGTTGAACAGACTAGGCTCTATTTATCTCCATAGTGCATGGCATGTCTCCTCAGAACTGCTGCTCCTGAGCTTTCCTCATACTTTCTTCTTCTGTTTTATTTGAGCTTGTTTCCCACAATGCCACGCCACAACTACCACAAGATAGCACCGTTGGTAAAGTCCCTGTGTGCCAAGTATGAAGTTCCTTATGAAGAAAAACCTCTTCTGAGAGCATTTGCAGACATTGTTGGGTAAGAGATCCAATGGGGATTGTTGGTCTGTTTTATCTTTTGGTTGAGTATAGAGACACCAGTACAACTTCATGATGCCAGCCAGCCAACTTTATATACTAATGGGTTCCACATGCAGAAGTGCAGAAATACTTAATCTGTATGCTGATAGATCTGGGAGTGTTTACTATAAACTGAAGCTTGGGAGAAAGCTCAGAGTCGGCTTACACAATCAGACTTCTGTTATACTATTGGAATCTCACACCTCTCTTTTTACTCTTTAGATCCCTAAAGAAATCTGGAGCGCTGTGGTTGGATGCTTACCTCCATAAATGAAGCTGGATTTTGGTGAAGAGAATGACTTAGCAAAGGGGAGGGCTGGGGAAAGGGGTAATGTGTATTCTTCTTGTCTGATTTCAGTCTGTATGTGTACACACATTTGGAAAGAAGTTTCCTGTACTGTATTGTCAAACTGAAGTTGAGGCAGATTGAGGGAACCTATTTTAAATCAGAAGGCATTTTAGATGTGTCAGATACTGGGGGGGAAAAAGAGAGAGAAAAGATTCAACAAAGGGTAGCTCAGAAGGTTAGGACCTTTTAAAGAGAACAGATAAAGGTGTGAAAGAAGGAGCAAATTGATCTTTGAATCTTCTCCTAAGTCTTGCTGTTGTAGTTCCAGCTTTGTCTCTTATCCCAGGGATATTCAAATTTCTTCAGGATTGGAACCTTCAATTGAAAACAAAAATTAAGAACCCAATTAAATTTATACAAAGCAATGATTCATCATTAATACAAACATCCTCCCCAACTGGGTTGGAGTTTTTGAATGTCAGCCAAACAGCCCCACCCTTTCCATTGTATCATGGAAAAATTGCTGCAGGCAGGTTTAAGTGGATCTTTTTCTTGCTCTTAGTCTCTTGTGAAACTCCAGGGTTCTATAAAACACAGGTTGAAGAAAGCTACAGAGGTGATTGGGTTACATAGAGTCCAGCTATCCATTGGATCTACATTAAATACAGGAAGCTTAATTGGTTCCTTCAAAGAATCAACTGTAAACAAACACATTTAAGGATTTATCCTCCTGAATAATGGTCATACAAAAGAGGAGGAAAGGGTGAGATACATTTAATTCAGAGAATAATATCTAAAATATCAGGTAAAACAATTTGCATTCCATCTAGGGGAACAAATCCCAGATATTGATTTTTTAAATTTGATTTAAGATCAAGTAACTAAGTATTATCAGACATCTAATAGAACAGTTCTCCTTTTCCAAAATCATCAGGTGAAAATGCTTAAATTCTGTTTTTAAAAAATCAAATAAGAAGCATTGTCTCTCGTCAAATGAAGCTTCTGTTCTCAGTTTCCAACACACACACACACACACACAGAGAGAGAGAGAGAGAGAGAGAGAGAATCAGAGCTGCAAAATGTTTTCTCTGAATTTTGATAAAAACTTGCTGGGGATTTGCATATGCATATGTTTCTTGAATTTTCCCCACCTCTTGTCATGCTGTTTGAAGAAAATTTAATGTGATTCACTTACACTGAGCCTCCTGAAGGTTAGTTCCAATTCTCTCTTCAATGAACATTACAAATGCCTGTTTGCACTGGATCAACCAGCCTAAACCAACTTTTGGCCATGTGTGTATTCCTAACTAAATAAGAGATACTGTGTGCATATGAATGTGCATGCATGGTTCACCAGCCATTGCTGTAGACAGACAGCTGCACTTTAACAGAATGGATTTTAGAATAAGCAAACAGGAAAGTCTATTATCATTCTCCATGCCTAAACAGCCGATCAGTAACAACAATGGGCTGTACATTTACATTTTTACACTAGGACCAGCAAGATTGTTTTCTGCATCATTGCTTGGTTCAGTCACAATTTTTACAAGAGCTGACATAAAACAGAATCATGCTTGCTTTAAACAGAAACTTTTAAAGATTTGTTTCAGGTTCCATGTAATTCTTAATTACTACTGTATATACAATTGCAATCAAAATCACTGGCATTTTTTCCTCTTAATTAGTCTCATCTATTCTACAATATCTAATTCATTGAGGAATAGATTTTTTTAAAAAAAACCATTTACAGTGTATGGCCAATGTTTTAAAAGGTCCAAAAGTAGGCAAACTTTGTCAGACAGTGTGATATGTGGATATTGCCTTAAATCTGATTACAGTCACCTGGTCTATTTTCCAAAATCAAACTAATGCAAGCTCTCTCTAGTTTTATTCCTGATGTGGAATTTCAGAGGCCTTTTAAGAATTACTTTAATTACTTACAATTCATGTCAATATTTTGTCTTATATATTGAGAGGACACTTGACTTTGTTTTCTGTGGTTGTATAGATAATTTCCTCTGTTAGTTTCGCTAATTAAAAGCATCCATATATTTTCAAGTTTTCCAAAAAGTAAAAACTAATAATTTAATTATGTAGTTTTTGACCATATGTGAAATTGTCCTAGGGAAGCTGGCATCTAGTTAGTCTTAGACAGTTAGGGTAATTTGATCAGCCCTGTCAAACTCATTGTGTATCTGCATTGGAAATAGTTGCCCTGGATAACATGCAATATAGGTTTCTTGTGATTAAAACAGAACATAATTATCTACCCATATATACCACACTGAGCTTCTGAAGAAAAGCTTGTTTAAGAAATTAATATGTCCATATGAATGTATTCCCCAGAAATGCTAGAGACATTGTGATGGGCAATGCAATATGTTTGGTGAATCAGTTCTTGCACATTTCAGAACACTAAGAAGTGTTATCAAATACGCATCTTAGAAGCTTTCAGAAATTTCAATTCAACAGTTTCAATATTATAAATCAAGTGCACTAATTATATGTATGGTACTACTAGCAAAGAAATCCAACTGTATGATGAGCAAACAGGCATTTAATTTCTTCTTATAGCTAATGAAATGTTGGACTCTCTTTCTCAATAGTTTCGTTATACAGATCAAACTAATGCAAGTACAGAAAGACATTTTAAAAATTTAAGAAGTGCAAAAAGGGGAAATAAAAGGAACAAAAAAGGTAAAAGAAAAAACCTCTCCCTATATCCTCAGCAAGCATACTCAACAAGTTATCACTAATACAACCAAACACCGCTTCATTCCACAGCTCACTCTATTCTCCATGCTGTCTCTAAAATGTCCATGTTAATCAGTGAAACCCAGTAAGCATTAGCAGAAATAAGTATTATAATTTTTTATCTGATACACCCAATTTGAACCCTTTTGTATTTATATCTAGTTATATTTAAAAATCCCCCTTTCCTCTATTCAAATAATCAGAGTTTAGTCCCAATCAAAAACAATTAAACATTACCAGAAATAACCATCATCATCCAGTCCCACTCAGAAACCATTTAACTCCACCAGCAAAAACAATTCATTATTTTAATCTTGATCAAATAAATTGAGTTGTATTCATTCTTCTTTCTCCCAACGATCTTTGAATTCATCACAGAAAGTTCCAACATCTGCTTTCGCATGTTCAATTTCTCTCTTCTCGCAAAATTCTTTTCATTTTTGTCAGACTACTTTGTCAGGCTCCTTTTGTAATTCCAGTGTGACAATTTCAGCAAATGTTTTTGATAAATCCAATATAAGAAAAGTATCCACATCACTCTTCTGATTTATTATTTGTACATTTTTTAATATTTTTAAAATCTTCATTCAATTTCAGTTTGTAAATTCATTGTTTTTATCTCTTTCTTATAGGCTATAATTTTTTAAACCATCTGTAAGTCAATTTCAGTTTTATTCAATGGGATGTGTTCAATAACACCTTCTGATTCTATTATAGTAGTAGTCTCCAACTTTTCTGGCTCCATGGAGCAGCGGCATCAGTGATGGGAGGAGATGGTTTTGTGTGTGTAACCTAATCCTATACATGCATAAATGAAGCTTTGCACTCTCACCCATCACTTGCACTGCACAGTTTCCCACATGGCCTGGACCGGTACCAGTCCATGACCCAGAGGTTGGAGACCCCTGTATTATAAACATAAATAACTCTTCCTTCACTCTTTCATCAAACCTTTATTTTAAGGTAACCATTGGTGTCCTCTAGTGTTGAACTTTCAAAGTCATCTTATCAGTTTCAAAGTATAAACAAGAGCTTTTTCCCATGAGCATCCACCCTTTCAATTAGATTCAAAGTCTTAAATCAAGTCACCTCAATCCCTTGATTTAACATTTTCTAACTCCAGCAATAATTATTATTTGCTATATACTAAAAATGTTAGAAATCTTTAATGTTTTTTTAAAGAATTGAAGGAAACTCACCCGTAATTTCAATAAAGTTTGCCAGACTGAAAGTTCTCAATCTTATTTTTTTGAAAAACCAGCCAAATGGGAGAAAAATTAAATACAAAGTGATTAAGAGATGAACCTCAGTCAAACATGATCCATATAGGCATCACATGCTGGCCATGCCCACCCCTGGTATAGCAAAGGGGGCGGGGGAATTGCGATATATCATGTGATGATAACATGATGACAATGTGAGTTTGACACCCCTGATACAGACAATGTTAGTGGCTATAAGCACAAAGAAACCCCACAATTCACAACTCATAATTAGTTGACCACAAAAAGAATGCATTTCCTGCTGTCTCCTCACAAAAACAGCTGTGTGTGGTACATGCGGGTAACCTTGCAATCTCTTTACTTTAGAGATATTTTGGCAGCACAAAAGCATTTGGGAGCCATTTTCAGCCACGGTATGTTTTTCTAATATCAGTTTGTCATGATGGCTCACTGGAAACTCTCAAAGAGTACATCTCAAATTACAGTCAATTTTTTTTTCCTAATGCCTATTCATTGCTTCTTGATTATTGGCAAGTAATGGAATTCCTACCTGCCACCTATCATATAAAATGCATATAACTACCAGAAATGTGGTTGCAACGTTAATCACTCAAGAAACTTTTTATTATGAATCTGAGAATCTCTGGTTCCAGAATTAGCAGAAACATTCCATATTTTTAGCCTCTTTAAAACATAATATAGGGAGTGAGTAAACATTAAATTATGGATAACACAATACTTTGCCTTAATCCAGACTTTTCATATCTGATGTCCTCCAGATGTTTGAAGCCAGAGCCTTTGAGCTTTCCTAGATTGGGATATGGGAGTTTTGAAGTTCTGGAGGGTAGCAGAGAAAGGCAGTCTTAATCTCTCAGGGCATGACCCAGCCAAAGTTAAATGTGAGCTGTTTTAAGCACATAATTTAGCGTTGACTCATATAAGTGTTGGCATTTGGCTTAGTCATGCCTGCCTAGTTCCATGAATGTACTTCATTTTCTTTGTTGCAACAGGAATGAGCACAAAAATAAAGGTCCTGTAGCATCTCTTATGTAGTCTTCCAATTGGACAGCTCACTTAATCTGAAGGCTTCTGATTTCTTTGTTGTTCTCTCAACCTTTGGTTCAAGAACTTGTTCAAGAACAATTTATTTCTATCAGAACTTGCAGGAATTTCCTACAGTTTTGTTCCACTCCAGACACCTTGCATTGCTTGGCTATTTTCTATTTGTTTAACTCAGGAGGAGCCCCAGAATATTGGGATTTCAGCCTTCTCAATTCAATAGCTTTATTCTTACCAGGTTATTTTTTTTTAAAGTCTGTAAAACACCCTACACTGCCAGCAGTTTGGGGAAAGGCAGCTGCATCTATTGATAGCACCTCTAGGTAAGAATCATTGTTTAAAATAAACAGCAATGTTGCTGGGACAATCCACAAAAGAAGGGGCCAATGCACAGTTGTACATAACAATTTTTTGCAAATATAACAGCCCCACTAGAATAAGATAGGCAGAGGAAAGGAAATGATGTGATAGTTACTTTTCCTTCCTTAACTAAAAATCTCAATGGTTACTTAAATTTTCTTGTTTGTGAAAAAACACTGAAAATAAATGGTAGAAATAAATTGAAATAAAATGGTAGCTTTTGCATTTGGAAGACAAGTCTCTTTTATTGTATATGTTCTTGGAGATATTACCAAATACTTGGTAATCACATGCACACATCAATTGGTACATTTATATGTCAATCCATATGATTATTAGTTCTAAATATTGGGTATTTGTGTTCAGTTTTCGGTTTTCTGACCATTTTTTTTTATCAGACTAATCTGAATCAATAGGTTCCAAAGGAATTTGTGTTTTCTCTAGATTAGTGAAGCATCATAAAATATTGCACTAAGCAAATATACTGTAGAATCCAAGTCATGCAAAATATTTGTTCCACTCTACATTGCCCTGATCAGATTCTATTTGGAATACTTAGTTCTGTATTCCATAATTCAGAAAGGACATTGGCCAACTTCAGAGAAGAGCTTCCAAAATGGTGAGGAATCTGGAAGATCAGTTAAAGTTTCTACTTTTGTTTAGCCAATGGATCAGTCAACTCAGGGAAGTTGTTTGAATCTTCAAATATATGAAAATTACCCACAGATTGAGTGGACTTTTTTATTGTCCCAGAAGATAGGCCCAAAATGAACAGGTTAAAATTATGAAGTAGGCAAGATTGATTGTATAAGCTTTCAGCCAAAGGAAAATTGTCACATAATATAGTGAGGTCTTCAATGGAAGTCTTCAAACTGATGCTGGATTATCATCCCTCAGAAATACTCTATCTGATGCTGTTTTGAACAGGGGATTGTATTAAGTCCCTTCCAATTATCTGATTCTAAATTGATTGGGTGCTTGGTCATGGATGATGATGAAATAAAATTAAGTAGAAATATATCCTCAAATTTCACATTAAATTTCTTCTTCAACTAAATTATTTTAGGAAGTTTTTTAAGTGCTGGATCATTGTATAAGCAATGAAGAAAGATGAGATTGTTATCAAGCTGGATTAATATGTATAGACAATACTTGTTCAGCTGAATTGATTGTTTAAGCATAGTCCTGGCTGTTCAGTACACCTGAGATGTAATTATATGAAGAACTATGGCTGAAGAATTAGATTTATCTATCTATTTAAATATTTATTTTTTATTTATTTAAATCATAAGGATGCCTGCACTTTATATAGTTCATACAGAATGGATTTACCTCTGATTAGAATTTATTTTAGGTGTCATTATAGTTAAAGAATATTTGCCTCCAAGGATAGTAACTACTATATTGGATTTTGTTTTCTGCTTTTGTTAGGATAAGAAGAGTTTCCTTAAGTTTCTTGGTTGATAAAAGAAGAAAAAGCAATTAGAAACGAAGTTTTTTTCCTGATGAGATAGAAACAAGGAAGGTTTTTTTCCCTGATGAAGTGAAGTAGGGTAATTCCTAATTGACATTTCAACCAAATTGAACCTTTAAGCTGATTAGATTAGAGAAATGATTTTGTGGTAAGGAATACTAAGATAGAAAGGCTGTTGCTGAGCTATATCATGGATGAAATGCACATATTTTATTAAGATTGCAAATACAATAACAGATGAAAACTCTACAGGTAATATTAACTCCATGACTTAAGCATAGCAAGAAACTATTTAGAAATAATTTAGATGCTTTGCTATTTCATTCTTCATTTGTAAGAGCAACCTCAGCTTGTCTGTGACAAAAGTCTAGTGTTTGGAATGGCAGAATAGTGCCCTTGGAACTTCTATCTAGTAAGTGGACTAGTAAACTGACAGCTTGAA